TGTCCGTACATAAATAAAAAAATCGGACATTTTAGGCTTCCATGACGTATATTGCGTATTCGCAAATGTATTGGAATGGTGGAGGGGATTGTATGATGTAATTTGACTGGGTATTACACCAGATTCTGAATACCCACTTACTCCTATCAGGTGCCTACTGGGTCACCTTCAGGCTTGATTTCCCTGTCAATCAATAAGGCTATCAAAATCATCTCCCACCCTCCACACAACCGTTATATAGTGGGCCCAATGGCAATGGCACGGAGAGAGCTTGTAGTAATTACAGTGTTTCATTTATTCTTCTAATAGAATGTATGTAACATAGGCAATACACAGACAGTCTAACCTTTTCATCCAATAGACACAGCACATAGCTACGACCATCAGGAGTACGGCTACACCTCCCACCGTTACTGGAATGATGATCTCCAAATGATCAAATTCTGATGGTGATTCTGTAGAAAAAAATAGAATCAATCTCTCAATAAATGTAAAAGTTACCGAGCAAAAGTTATAGAGCATTGGTTTTACTTTGTGTATTTTTTAAGCAGATCGTCTGTGTCTGAGCGCCCCTCCCCCAAAGTGTTTACTGAAACATCCCCTACAGGACGCATGTTAACCTGTTCACTGAAAATGAACTGTCCCTTTTCCATGGCGGGAGATCAACCATTGTAAAATAGGGAGTTGAGTGGATACATCTCTGATACAATGAATCAACTCTGATGTATACATTTTCCAATTATAAAACAGCGTTATCGGTAAGAAAATATAAGAAGAACTTTATTGACACAACAAAAAGTACAGCGACTATATGTGAAATCAATTTTAAAAGGTGAGGTACAAACAACAAAAATTTTCTGTTGGCATTATACCCGTATAAAAAATGGTTCGTCCCTTCCTGTAAGCGCCAATCACGTTCAAGCTTACATCTAAGAATCTTTCATTCAAAATTTTGGCGCCATTGCACCTGCAGACGAGACTGAACCTGGGGCGTCCCGTCAGAACTGAGGTAAGAATTTCCCCATTTTTACGGAGAAATACCACATTATATTCAGGGTTCACCTTGTATAGTTTCTGTATATCGTTGCCAAATGTCCCCCTTTGATTTTAGGATATGTGTATTTGTTACACGGTTTCCCCGATATTTTCACGATTTGTGATGCATGGTACCTTTACTAAATACGCATGACGAGATTTTCGTACATTTTTCCTGTCAGTGTTTCTCTCGTAAACGTTGTATTTTCCCTCAAGTTTACCTCAGAATTTCCAGGCAAAATGTTCCGACGTGTAGTACTTCAACTTTTAGCCTTCCTTCGCTGGTGAAAAATTGAGAAATATTTGTAAAGCGGCCCTTCGTAGTTGGGCAGGCGGGATGTCATTAGCATGGTCCCGTGTGTATATGGCCGGCGTTTGGGTGGTTGGTAACAAGCCTACCAAAATTGATATTTTTCCTCAACTTTACCTCAGAATTTTCAGACAAAATGTTCCGGCATGTAATAAAGTTACTTTTAGTTTTATTTATCCGAGAAAAAATGAGAAAAAGTGTCTCTTCTTGTGTCGGTCTGCAGCTGCCCCATACAAATTGTACGTATGGCCGAAGTCACCACAATGAATTAGATGGCTGGTCAAATGTTCAAGAAAACTGTTAATTTTTCCTCAGGTTTTCCTCAGAACTTTCAGATAAATGTTTTGGGATGTACTAGTGTCATTTTCAGCATTTCTTATCCTTGAAAATTTGAGAAAAGTTGACCAGCGGCCCGGCGTAGTTGGGCCGGCGGGATAGCAGGTGCGTGGCCCCGTATGTAACGTTAGACAGAGCCCGGTGTGGATCCCAATTGTCAAACGGTCGAGAAAATTGTCTATTTTTCCTCAAGTTTTCCTCAGAAAAAATGTTCCAAGATGTAGTAGAGTCACTTTTAGCTTTTTTTTATCCGTGAAAAATCGAGAAAACTGTCAATCGGTCGTGTGTAGTTGGGCCGGCGGGATAACAGGTGCATGATCCCGCCTACAACGCATAACACCTGTTGCACACTTCCAGCTCAGCAGCGCCGCCTGGCTCAGCAGCAACGAACTGCAGAACCCTCCAAGATTACCAGCATATATTTATGAACCAGAACTAAGTAAGCTATTGTCTTTTCTCCACAGAAATTTTAAAAACTATTAATATTTATTATGAAATTTACTTATCATACAATAACCTCGTAATGTTCATGTTACTGTAACAACATTTGTGGTATTTTTGATGCTGACATTTTGTTTCTTTTTTCTTTGGACAGAACCAAAGGAGGGATGTTGTTGATTCCTGTCTGCCCTGCTGTTGATGTAGAGTAGCTTTCCTGATCCCTGCTAGCAGGTATGGTATTGTGATATTTCCAGCTTTCTTAAAAGTACTTTCTTCATGGTCTCCACTTATTTAATCCTATGCACAGATTTTCTGAAACAGAAGGAAAAATGCAAACCGTTAAATGTTGAAATCCTACTCAATATGCTGCTTCTGTTTTACTCAATCAATAAAATTTTTGTTAAAAAGGCTTTGTCTTTGCAGTATCAAACTGTGATAAGGATATTTTATTAAGCATTTGGTGCTTTTGCCAGGATAACCAAGTTTTAACAACTCTCTCTTTCTTTCTCCTTCCTTATAGATCTGCACCCCTCTCTCCACTACAGATCTTCCTGTCTACTGATGTCACTTGTTTCCAGGCTACTTGAAGGGAAGCAAGCATCAAGAGGACAGCTAGAACACAAATAGGATTTGTATGATATCCTTGTCTGCTGATAATATAGAAAGGGTGGGGGGAATTGAGCCAAGCTCTACTTTGGCTTTGCTCACTAAACTTGAGATAATGTAGGGAACGTTTTGGAAAATAAAGTGCCTTGTGACAAAGATCTTAAAGAAAACCTTTGCATAAAAAAAGGGGCTAAGGGATAGTATTTCTAGACATGTATGATATACTAGTAGTCCCCTGGAAGAAGACCTGAATGTAAGGTCAAGAAGAAGAACAAGAAAACTCATACGGCTGTAGTTGCCAAGGACATCTTCAAGCTTTTTGTGTGTTTTAATCAAGTCAGTAATAAGACTATGAGGATATATCCTGAAAGATTGAAAAAACTAAAACAATGCATGGAACAGTGTTATACCTGTTACCCAACCATCTTGTAAGGAGAAGATGGAACACTGAATGAGAAATGATTTCATCCATCTATTAGTAATTGAATAGATGGAAGTTTTAGACCTTTATCACCATCATGTAGGAGAAATGGTGGAATTAATGTTCACATTAATTTCTTTTGTCCATCTTGTATGTGAAAAGGTGGACAAGTAACTATTTCATCCATCTTAGTACAAAGATGGATTTTATTTTCACCGTCTTGTAAGAGAAAAGGTGGACTTAGTAATGATCCTGTGGACTGCAGCCATTCCTGAAGATGCCCACGACAAGGGACTACAACCACGCAGGAGACCAATGCCAACATTGAATAAAGATTTTGAATAACGATTATGAAGAAGTGTTTGAATAAAGTTTCTGAAGAAAGATTTTGAATGAAGACTTTGACTAAAGATAATCCTTTACATTGGAATCAAAATTTGATAGAACTTTCAAGTGCTTGAATTCGGTATTTAAAATTAAAAGGCAGTACTTCTACATGCCTTTGACCTGCTCTTTGAGTTCACATGCACTTTGACTTTAGATCAGCTGGATCCAGAAATAAGGTGAGTTAAAAACCAAATTAGAGCAGGGACGTAGTTAGTAAAAGTGTGTGATGATTCAGAGAGCAGGTCTTATTTCACAAATTTATGGGGGGGTGGGTAGATGGAAGTCAAGCACAAAACTTCTTGTTTTCAAAAAATTTATAATATAAACACAAGGCACACCCCAAATTTTAGCCTAGTCAACGATCTCAAGAGGACGCCTGTTTTTATGTTAAGCCACTATGAAGATGCCAGAGGTAAGCCATGTAATTAAGGACTGCATGCGTTTACTAACATGTGCTTTCTTTCCTCATACCGCTTAATAAAGGGGGGTCCTTTTGCAAGCCTTCTAGTATCATCTAGGGTTAGGGCCATTCAATCTTTTGTGTTTGTCTACCCCATGATGGGAAGGGAACTGGGGTCCTTGCAACAATAAATGGGAATTCTTTTTTGTTTCATACATTTTACACACTCTGTAAGTTGCACTTGCAATTGAAATAAAGAAATGGTGTCTGAATTCTGTGGTGTGAGTTTCTTCGAGATTAGTTAGTAGACTTTTTTGCGACTTTTGGAGACATTTTTGTGTCATTTTTGACATCTGATACTTTTTACACACTCTGTAAGTTGCACTTGCGATTGAAATAAAGAAATGGTGTCTGAATTCTGTGGTGTGAGTTTCTTCGCGATTAGTTAGAAGACTTCTTCGCGGCTTTTGGAGACAATTTTGTGTCAATTTTGACATTTGATACTTTTTACACACTCTGTATGCTGCGGCTGAGCTTGAAATAAAGAATTTCAAATAAAGAGTGTCTGAATTCTGTGGTGTGAGTTACTCGCGATAAGTAACAAGATAGAGCAACGATTTTTACGCGACTTTTCGAGAGACAGAGAAAACCGTTGTGACAGTGACAATGACAGGATACTGGATAGGTTTGTATATTCCAGGTAAACATGTAAGTATAACTTTGCAACTTTTCTTAAATTTTTTATTTCTTTGAAGCTTTTCTAATATGTTTGTAGTTTCTTTTTTTGCAGGTTGCCACTTCAAAGATGTCTGTTTCCTGGCTATCAGCCAACAGAATTGTTCCCTGGATGGATAACTCTGCATCGAGGCTACTTGAAGCTTTGGACACCGGGAACTGAAGCAGATAACAATCTTTTTTTTTTGTTCACAAATTGTGTTGAGACTTTGCTACAAATATAAGCCAAACGTGAAATTTAATGGTTGGGCAAGATACAGTAGACTTCAAGCAGCTTTCGAAAGCTGAGTTTATGAAAGACATTTTCTTAAAAAGCTACAAAGCATAGTGTAAGCTAAGTGATATAATCATTATTTCGACTGATTTTAACCACAGTAAATTATGTTTTTAAGTTTTGCAAGAGTCTGTTGCAAATATTTACTCTTTGTTGTTTTTCTGCAGGCACATGGCACTACCTGGAGGTAACAAGAAGGAGGGATGTTTAGACATGGATGCAGAATTGAGACACCATGCAGAAAACAGCATCTTTCTTTCTTTCTTTCTGAATTTTCTGACACATATACATGGTCCTTGAACAGTGACACTCATCTAGAGCATTTTGGGATTCAAAAAGGTGTCCTCAGGAACAGGCAGGTTTTGCACATACAGACAAAACACACTTTTAATTCTTTCTTTCATTCTTTCTTCTTCATAACTGTGCTTTCCAGGCACCTTCATGGACAGTATGCTGGGATTTGAGCCAATTAACCCTCAAAAACATTCAGGATTTGCACGTACAGACAAA